CAGCCCAGTCAGAACTTTTACATATTGTAGAGGGGGACAAAGTTCCCGTGGTGCATATGAAGAATTTGCTGGGGAAGACAGTCTGGGTTATTCCTGCTTCAGGTAAAGGCAAACCCACTCGTGGGATTGCTTTTGCTCAGGGACCTGGATATACTTGGTGGGTAATGCGGGAAGATGGGGAAGTCCGATGTATACCTCAAGGGGATTTGATTTTAGGGGAGAACAGCCAGTGAACTCAGTTGTATGCCGTTGCCTGCTGTGTAATGCTTTTATAGCCCATCAACTAGATGTCTCCAGGTCACCAGCGACTGGCCCTGACTTCCCTCCAGCCATCATCCCAACAGAGAATGAACTTTGAACATCATGGACCGAATGGACTCGGCAGCATTATAGGGATTGGTCCATGCACTAAGAAAATGATCTTTTCCTCTTGGTCTGTATGTATATGGATGTATATATGTGGGAGAGCGATGGTGTATTGAAAATGTGGGATCTGAGCACGACGTGAATGGTATGGAATAAGGGGTGGATAATGTCCTGGGTTCAGCAGTAGCAGTCATGTTTTTCCTTTGTGTTAACTGGTGCAGTGCTGTGTTTTGACTTCTAGCTTGAGAACAGTGTTGGTGAAGCCGATGTTTTCGGTTGTTGCTAAGTGATGTTTACCCTGACCAAGGACTCTGTGAGGCTCATGCTCTGCCAGGGAGGAGGGGAAGCTGTGAGGAAGCAGAGACGGGGCGCCTGACCCGGGCTAGCCGGGGAGGTATTCCATACCACAGCACGTCATGCCTGGGGTGGGGGGGTAACTGGGAGTTACCCGGAAGGACAGGGGCTTCCGGGTGGAACTCGCTTTCTTGGCCGGTGGTATCGTATTCTCTTCCCTTGTTATTTTCCCTTATCATTGTTTTAGCTGATAGTAGCGGTGGTGATTTGTTGCTGGACTGTTCTTGTCTCAACCTGTAGGAGTTGCACTCTCTCGATCCTCCTCCCCGTTCCTCCGGGAGCGGGGAAGGGGAGAGCCCTGGTGCGGGGGGGGAAGGGGGGAACGGACACGGACCTCGATTGTTGTCAGCTCGGCACCACTCACTGGGAGTGAGTGAACAAGTTACCTGACTGGGTTTAAACCACGACACATGTGCTTCATGTGTAACTAATTGGTAGGAAGCGGGAGCGGAAAGGAGCTGCGTACAGGAGTATTCAGCAAACATGCCTTCATGACCTATTGTATTTAGAAAACCCTAATGCAGCTCCCACATTGACTCCCATGCAGCTCTCCAGTGTACCTCTCCAAGTACGTGTAAAACAAAGTCAGCTGGATGCTTCTTTAGGTTTTCCAGCCACCATGTCCAGAAACAGCAAGAAGTTTGTAGGTTTTGCTTGTATAAGTACCTGCCACTGGAGGTGATTGAAAATCCTCCCCTACACTGTTAGCTCCCATCTTTCCTTGTGCCAGTACTGCTTAGCTATGCAGATGAATCTACATTTTTCACAGGTATTGTAGAGGACTTTGAAGAGCAGTTATAGTATAAATTTTGCTAACAAATTTTGCTAGTTCACAAAGGAGAAAAAATATTTTCACATTTAAGAATTAAAGAGTTAAAGCCATATCAGGGTGCTAAAACTCCAGGGTTTACTAGCATCTACTTTACATAGAAAATGCAAATTTTCTAATTTCATCTCATAACTGGACATTTGGTTATTTGTTGTTGTTTGTTTGTGTTTTTATTAGTACATTACATGAATCCACACAAACTATGCACTGTATCATAACATGGTCTTTCAAAGTGTGTTCTAATGTGCAATTAGATAATAAATTTGCTTTTGAATTGCTCAGCAATTCAGGGGTCTGATCCCCGCAACTTTTATCACTAATACATAAGTGGCCTTTCAAAAGGGTTCCCATGGTGTTTGAATGGAAAGAGAAAAATCAACAAACCCTTCTCTGTACCATGACTCACAGTCCTAGACCTCTCTAGCATGACAGCATCAGTGACCTAAAAGTTCTGATAAAACACAAATCCAGCTTTGGCAAACAAGAAGCTGTTGAAGCTTACTGTGTTGATCTGTAAATTCTCATTAACTACTGCAGTGCACTGCTTAATCAAGGTGCTTCCCAAGGAATCAATTTAAACCTAATGATACTTGTGACAAGGACAGCTGCTTAATTGGGATGGTAATTTCACTTAATTGGGACACCTTCAGGTGACATGGGTGACAACCTGCAAGTGTTAGTTCAGTGCATTCTCCTTGTGCAGTTGCCCCCCTCTGCCCTCACTTACAGCTGGTTCAGTGCAAACTACTGGACACTGCTTCCCAGTGGATAGCAGCCACCTTCCTATTGCTCTGAAGGACTTCCAGCGTGACAGACTGCTCAAAACAGTGCTCGATACAGCACTACCACAGGGAAAGCAAGTTAGCCACTTCTCCAGCCTAATTTTAATGAAAATATTCAGCCCCTAAAGTAGCCAAGATTCTTCCATCTTAAAAAAGCTTAAGAAAAGATTAGTGTCATGTCTTTGAAGTCTTAAGATGTGCAATTTCATGTTGTTCATTAAAAAGCCTAGTCTTAACTGGGACAGTTGCTGAAACTAAATTAAACGCATGCATGCAAAGGCCTCTAGCTGAGATTGAATAACCAGCATTCAACATTTAATACCTAAACAAAAATATTATCGTATAAAACCTACTAGGATAGAGGATGGTCTGCTGGCTAAAACAAGAGCTGTGATTACAGAAAGCTTGTGTTTTCCTTTTTACTTTAATTTTCTATTGCAGTATGAAATCTCTGTTACATTGTTTTCGTAAGATGCAGCTTTAATAAGAGGGATGGTACATTCAGTGCCTTCAATCAGGTACAGATTGTCTGCCATTGGACCTGTATGAAAATAAAGAGTATGCAGCTGGAGGTGCTGAAATTTGCTTGCTGCTGGGAAGTAGTTGGCTTTCTGTTGATGCAGTTATCATAGAATCATAGAATGGTTTCAGTTGGAAGGAAACTTAAAGCTCACCTTTAAAACCATGGACACCTTCCACTACATCAGGTTGTTCCAAGCCCTGTCCAGCCTGACCCTGAACACTGCCAGGGATGGAGCAGCCACTTGGCAACCTGTGCCAGCGCCTCACCACCCTCACGTGGAAGAATGTCTTCCTAAAATCTCATCTCAGTCTCCCCTCTGTCAGGTTAAAGCCATTCCCCTTGTCCTGTCCCTACAGGCCCTTGTCCAAAGCCCCTCTCCAGCTTTTCTGTCACCCCTTTAGGCACTGGGAGCTGCTCTAAGGTCTCCCCTTAAGGATCCTTCTCTTCTCCAGGCTGAACCAGCCCAGCTCTCTCAGCCTGTCTCCAGAGCAGAGCTGCTCCAGCCCTCGCAGCATCTCCGTGGCCTCTTCTGGACTTGCTCCAAGAGCTCCATGTCCCTCTTGTGTTGCTGCCCCAGAGCTGGATGCAGGAGTGCAGGGGGGGTCTCCACAGAGCTGAGCAGAGGGGGAGAATCCCCTGCCTTGGCTTGTTCCTCTTTATGCAGCCCAGGACTATTGTACAGACCTGAATTTCTGAGAGCAGAGATTATGGCTGACAATTAATCCGTTTTAGCTTGTACTTGCAATTAAACTGTGTTTGGCTACTCCCCCATCAACAAAGCTTTTTTTTTTTTTTCCTTTTAATTGGAGATAAGGATCAAATAAAGAAGAGGAAGGAGGCACATACATATTATCTTCATCGACCTAAGCTACAGAAGCACTCAACATCAGTGTAGACACAATGCGAGCTATCCAAATATTAGAAAAAAATACCAATTGCTTTTGAGAGAAGCTATGATCTTTTAGAACTGATGCCACATACACCAGCTATCATATCAGTGGTGTATAGCACTGCTTTCTTACAGCCCTCTGAAAACTTACTGTAAACTAGTGACTTGTCATATTTTCAGACAGCTTTAGGAGATCCTTCCCAGCTACCTTATGTGGTTTTATTCATATACAAGGGGATCAGTGTCACAGACAGATAAAAGTAACATCGCCTTGCTTTCAAAAGCAAGACAGAAGCAGGCCATTTTCCTTGTAACATTAGGGAAACAGAGATTAGCAGGAGAGGAAGCAGCTTAGAGTATGTGGTAAATACGTCTCATGTGAAACTGAGCCTGTACTCCAGCATTTTAGAAACCTATCCTGGAGGTTTTACTTGAGAAAAAGCAACCTATTAAGGATTTCAAGTTTTTGTCCCAGGGAAAGGAGATTTACAAAATGTTGCTGCGGTAGAAGATCTTATTGTTATTACCCTTACTGCCTCACACATCATCTTGCAAAACGTGCTGCCACAAGAAACCCAAAGCCTGCTTTTCAAGCTCACTGCCAGAAGCAGCCTATTACAACACCTGCAATGGCGATAATGAAAGCCATCTCATGAAGCCTTGTGACAATTACAGCCGCCTGCACTGTGCTTGTAATACAGCAGATTAATTGTGCTCTGGTCCTCGAATGAGACCCATAAATCAGCACGATGATGTCATACAGTGATTCACACTTGAGGTGTGATTCATGCAGCTGCAATAATTGTGTGGCAGGTCATTCAATGAGAGAGCACATTACAGGATTGAGGGCTGCTGTTTTATGAATGAGTAAGGGAGCACGGAGAAACAAGATGATCAGTACTACAGATCAGGTACCTGCCTTGGCTAGTTTGCATATTTAATGTGAGACACAGGTTTCCTCTCAGCTCTGACCAGGTTTTATTAAGGTAAATACTCTGCAGTTTTATTATACAAGTAAAAGTCCTCTTTAAGCTTGACTTTGTACATGTATGTAAATTATTAGTCTTTAAAAAGAAAACCTTGTGACATAGCAAAATATTTTTCCAGCTTCTGTACAAAATAGCTCTTCTTTTTTTTTTCTCTTTTTCTGTTAGAAGGCATTGAATTTTTTACTGCATTAAGTGGCCTGTGTATTTTTACAAAAGTGATATAAAACCACCTGAAATATGCAAAAATTCCAAAGTGCACTCCAACAGCTAATGCTTTGCAAATACTTTATTACACAAATTACATTCAGCTTCTGAAAATAGTGTTCTAACAGTGATACCATCTAAAAATAAGACATCCCAGAAACACATCAAGTTTGGAAGAAGAAAAAAAATTAAATAGAGACTTTTTTCTTTCCTTCAATGCAATATAATGTTAGTGATTTTAAAAAAATAGAAGAAGATTTAGCAGCTTTATTTTCTTGTGGCACTGTATTTTCTCTGTACTGCAACAGGTTAAGGACATTGAAGAGGAAAGGCACAAAACAGAAATTGGCAACTGAATAGTTACAGGAAAAGTATTTTGCTGAAGTAGATAGTATGACTTATTTACAAGATCCCCAGTTTAAAATGAGAAAATACTACTGCTTTAAATCAGTGCTGCAATTAGAAGACTTGTCCGTATTAAGATGCTCACATAAAAAACAACAGCACTGATACAGAACTTTCCTACACTCCTCTGCCTAAAAAACAGAACTAAAACCGAACAAAAACTAAAGGAACCAGTGTACAGCCCCACATAGACTAGTACAGTTTACAATTAAATACACAAAATCTTAAACGTGCTTAAGGGAAAAGGAATATGACTTTTTGGGTTGGATCGTATAATGGAGAACTTAAAGGCTGGTTTCAGAAGGATGAAGGTGCTGGTGGAGTTGGAGGTGCTGAACACTCTTCCTCTGAATCTGTGCCTTCACCTTCATCTTTTTCTTGATCACTGCCTTCAGTGCTCACTCGGTCAAAACCTTTTCGACTGTAGCTCTTGTGACTTGCAAAAAAGTTCCCAAGGTTAAGGCCACCACTGCCTTTCCCTGTGGAAAGGAAAGGTTTGTTGTAAGGTTTACTTTACTCTATGGTGGAATAAAAATCTATCTACTGATTCACCAGGATAATGGAGACTATTTTACGTGTCCTTACAGAAATTGTTTTTAAAGATCAGCACATTAGCCGCAGAGATTATGAATGAGAAAGGAAATTAATTTTTGAAGTAGAAGTTTTAACAGCATCTGTTGTTTCACTAAGTCATTATGTAGCCTACTTGTGTGCCCAAGTTTGCCTTTCATCTCAAAGTGCTTAATTTCCTTCACCAGATTTAGATAACCCATTATAACAGGTACCGCTCTGCCACTGGTAGTGACACATCCTCTTCAGTGGGCAGATAATGATGGATGAAAGGTGTCATAGAATACATTTCCACAAAACACCTGAGGTTTGCCCCCAGTCCTTTCCCTGAGAATGTTCCATCAAATCTGTTATTCAACTAGAAGTGGATAGGAAAAAAGCCTCCACTTATTGTTCTTAAAAATCCTGAATGACTCAAGACTCACCTCTAACTCTGCCTAAAATTCTTCCTGAACTTGAATCAAGTTTGTGTTCTCCATCACCTGAAAAACAAAGTAGATTTCAAAAATAAGCTAAAAAAAATCATATTATACGATTAAATATAAATGAAATATGAAATATAAACCCACAAAATTAAATATAATTAAATAATTATCTAGGATACAAAGCACAGATATTCAACAAATTGATCAGCAGCTCTAACAAGCAAAACTGATACTTTCCAGTTTCTTGATTAAGGTGAAATTATAATTCCTAACAGAATCACTATACCACGGATGTACAGTGTATGCCAATTCAACCATTAATAAGATTCACATGCAAGATATTTCTGAGAATTTAATTCCCTCAACTGTTCACTCATGTTACTGTGAAGAGTTTACAGGAAGGACAATAACCTTGCTATTTATAATGTACACAACTACACTGCAGCACACTGCAAACTGCAGCTTGACATTCGAAATTGTATCGTTTCCCTTGAAAAAAGACTTTTTATGGAAGACAGTGAATTTCTTCAGGTATTTTGGAGGAACTTTCTCTACCCCTTCACACACTGCATCTATCTTCCTCCCTGGTACCTCTTCCCATCCTTTAAAAAAAAAAAAAGAGTCCCATGACCTATCTGTCTTTTCTTATATACTACGTAGTTTCCATAAACCTGTGCAAGAAGTTACTTTTAATAGCATAACTGTATCATGCTCCTTGACACAGTAAATTCAAACACTGCTTGAATCCAACTGGAATCCAAATATGCTATTATAGATCATATCCATTAATGGCAGTACTGCAGTAGTCTAGAGTGTTAGCATATCTAATGTGCTAAACTTGTTTGAACACAAAGAAGTTAGGAAGCTTTTATTTGAAATCTTCAAATAAAATACATCCAATTCAGCTGCACAGCAACAGAAGATCTTGAATTACCTAATCTGCCATTGTATGTCCTAGACAGTAGCAGAACTATTTTATTTATCTATTGCATGTAGCTTTTCTTTTCTTGATGAGAGTATCTTGATAAAGCTATTTATGCAATACAAAGTATCATGATCGAACTCCTACTTTAGTCTAACATTTTCTCAAAAAAAATTTACTACGAAATGTGAATAGCAGCAAATTTACATAGCATTGTAAGCACCAATTAAAGCTCTCACAGCAATGGGTAGAGGTCTGTTATGGTATCTGACTCACAAAATGCACAAGGTAGTAATGAACAACAATAATATATAATGCCTTGTAAATGTTATCTGTTTGCTTTTTGCATATACTTTTAGAGTCCTTTGTTCTCAAAAATTTAAAGATCCCAAACTGAAAATCAAACTATGCTCAAAAGTTTAAAATTTATGTACTCTAGACATAAATTTTATAACATGAATATATTCTATTTATTTCTGAGACAAATTTTTGGCTCAACACCAATTAAAGTTTTAGATACATGTTCTGAAAAGGTGGTGGCTAGAGATGTAATGTTAAAGGCTGCAGTTGCTGTGTGCACACTGATTTGCATGCAGTGTCACTGCTGTAACTGTTCAGAAGGGTAAAGGGACAGTGAGCCTCTCTCTTCATACCCTCACACCTCAGTATTCAGCAACGTTTTGAACTGCAATAATAAAAGCCTGTTCTCTAGAGTTACTCACAGTTACCTCTATAGACAGTTGTCTTCCTCCACCGAATAAATAATAAAATTGCCAGCAGAACAACAACAGGGATAATTAGAAGAGTTGTAATAAGAACAAATGAAATTCCAGTGCTGGTGTGTTGCTGGACTAAATGTTGTTTTTCCTGCTTCTTTACAGGGTCCGTTGATTCTGGGTTGTTTTTCAATCTGCCTTCTACAATTGTTCCTGATTCTTTAAAGAGAAGACAATTTCAGCATGTAATCCATTTGCATCAAGCAACAGAACAAGGCATTAAAGAACAAGCTAGTATACCTGAAGTGTATAACAAGGAGTAACAAGGACACAAAGGAAAAACACTTATGGAGACATTTTTAGCTCTTGCTGATGTTATCCCAAAGTAAGGCAGAGAGAGTCTGAATGATATCACTCACTAGCAAAGATGCTCTTCCTTTTTCTCAATGGGGAAAGGAGAGGTGTTAGGGAGAGTTTATTCTTAAAAACTATCTATGATTTAAAAGACAGGAAAATCCCCAGAAGTTCTATTTTTGCAAGTAGGTGTGTGATGTAATGTCAAATATCTCATTCTGATAATAACACTTCCACAGGTAATGTAGAAATCCAGTATATTATGTATTATCATAAAAATGGAATGCATTTAAAGGAATGCATTTAAAGTTCTTTTTAATAAAACTTGTGACAAAGTGTTATATTTTCCAAACCCCCATGAGAGAACTTTGACTCTGAAAGTCTGGAGAACTTTTGAAAACTGCACCTAAACATTCCTGACTAGTTTATTACCTCTCCACCTACAAGGAGAAAACCAATTCCAATAAAATCCTCTATGCTGTTTTGTATGTGCATAAAGACTCACATGCTTTGTGCTAACTTAATGAGTAAATATGTCTAGCTATATGTTTTAAAGTCTGATTTAACTGCTGTCCTGTGTTTGGCTTTAACAGTTATTTTTCTGCTTCCTAGCAGCTGTTATGGTGCTGTGTTTTGGCTTTAGTCTGAGAACAATGCTAATAACACACCAGGGTTTTAGTTGTTGCTAAGTAATGTTTACCCCGACCAAGGACTTTCTGAATCTCATGCTCTGCCAGTGAGAAGGGGCGCGGGAAGCCGAAAGGAAGCAGAGACAGGACACCTGACCTGACCTAGCCAAAGGTGTATTCCATACCACAGCACGTCATAACCAGTATGTAAACTGGGTGGAGCTACCCGGAAGGCCCAGATTGCTGCTCGGGTCGGGCTGGATATCGTTTGGCAGTTGATGAGCAATTGTATTGTCCATCACTTGTGCTTATTGTTTTTTTCCTTTCTCCTTTTAGTTTTATATTCTCTTCCTTTGTTATTTCCCTTATCATTATTATTATTGGTGATAGCAGTAGTGGTTTGTGTTACACCTTAGTTACTGGACTGTTCTTATCTCAACCTGTAGGAGTTACATTCTTTTGATTCTCCTCCCCATCCCTGCAGGAGGAGGAAAAGATGAGGAAGTGAGCAAGGGGCTGCATGATTCTGAGTTACTGGCTGGGCTTAAACCATGACAGCTGCATCTCTTAAGTAGCTGTGTCAGGAACACACTCTGAATCAACTCTGTTTTGATTCTGTATCAAACTTAAAATGATGCTTTGTTCTGAAAGAAATGCTTCAGTTTACACTGAACACACTAATACAGTGATAACAATTACAGTGCTGTCTGTTCAAGTAGTAGTTACAGCCAAGAGCACCTTTCCTCCACTGTCTTTTCCACCTCTGAGCAAAACTACTGTTCTGCACACAAGAGAACTGCTACATCTCCACAGTCCCCCACTTCACAGCAGCACAATAGTAACAGCCTGCCACAAGGAGGTTGTGACAACACATGCCACTCCTGCCCATTTATTTAGCAGAGGATGGCACAACGTACATTGGCTACCTGTTTTCTTCAAGTGGAGTTGAAAGATGTTAATTTCAGTACAGGTACCCTAAATGTTTTAGAGTTTGTTACTTAAGAACTGCTCCTGGTGGTACTATTGCGGTTTTCTCTATAGCATTAGGACTGTCAGCTAGCTATCTTCCTAAAGAAGCCAAAATGCATTCTTAATGTATCTCTAGATTTGTTCTACTATGAATGCTGTATTGTGAACGCTTCACTTCTGAGTGTCTCAGTAAGGCTGATGTACCAATAGAGAGAAAACAGAAGGATAACTATTCTGACAATAAGGATTTAATTGTTTTATAATCTCAGCCTCCTTTATTCTACTTTGTTCTATATGTTTGGAACTGCCAGTTGGGATCTGTTGGTATTCTCCTCTGTCTGCATATACACGGCTAAAGCAAATCACGCTCTGATTCAACCAAAGAAAAACATTTACGAATGTGTGAATATAAGCAGACTGGTAATGTTTTTCTGAGAGGGAAATGAACTTTTCCTTTTCAACATAAAGGACATACATAATGATACAAATAGTTAAAACTACTTCTCATCTTTCGAAACTGCTATTTCACCCCTTTGATTTCTACATGTATTTCTTTATCTCCTTATAGTAAGTTTTTACATGTTTTTATTTTGCTTTTGTTTTCCTTTTTCTTGTCATTTTCATGAAGATAAGGAAAAAAAAGGCAGTAAACCTAGGGAAATAAATATAAATAGAAAAATTTGGGGTTTTTGCCATATGGTATGACTGGCAAGGCTGTGTATTCAAAGACTATGCAGAAAGATGAACCATTTGCCATTTTAAGTTTTTTTGGTTGAGGGTTGTAAAACAGAGGGAAGGGTGCTGGGGTGTGTGTGTGTATATCACAGTTACATTTCAGAGCTATTTCTGCATCTAAAGGGAGCTGACACAGATACCAATCAGCACCATACCAGATGGTGGTACAGAATTAATTCACTAGTTAAGTTTTTATCTTAGTGTCTGTGAAGCACTTGTCATCACTGAAAATGATATGTTTGGATTTGCTGCAAAATAGCCTCTACTAAGTAACACTGCTCATTTTATCTGTATGAAATGATGGTGAAAAGTAACAGTCAAACTAGATAGCGTTCTTGCCTCCAACTTGGCAGAAGCCTGTTCCTAATCTATGTGAAAATAGTGGTTTCTTCATTTCCATTATGAATCAGACTAACCTTTTATTTCCTGTACCTCAATACCAGCCTTTTTAACTGACCGATGTTCCATTTCTGTAAAACAAAATTATTCTTCAGGACAACTGACATTTCAGAAAGACAGTGACATTTCTCTGCTAGCTTTCTCAAATGTTCAGTACAATCCTACAGTAAACAATCCCGTCAGCTTCACCAAGGAGAGTCAATATAAATGATTAAACAGCTCACAAGGCCATGGAAATAAGAAAGAGCTTGATCCATGGAAGGTGTTTGCAATAAGTAACTCTTATGCCACAGAGAGATTTTATGGGCACATGTAAAGCTTCAAGGGAGTCCAACAAAAATAAAAATGTTCATTATAATCAAAATCACAGTGGATTAAAGGCTGACTGAACCAGGGCTCATTAGCTACTGCACTTTCATATTGCAGATAAAGCTAGAAAGAAAGTTATATACAAGGACTTTCCTCCACCTGCAGGTGATGAATAATTCTGTTATTATTTTATTCTAGTGTTTCTTTAAATAAAAGCCCAGAATTTTTCTTGTTCAGGTTACTGTATGCACAAAAAGTCATATCCAGTCAGAATTACAATTTATGTGGTCCAGTCTGCTGTTACTAAGAGCAGCTGATACCAGATGCCCCAAAGGAAAATCCATGAATTACAACTGGACAAATAAGGAATAACTAGCTTAGTCAGAAGTTCATTTATAACAGCAGAGTCTTACTGGTTGACTAACACCCTGAGGCCTGAGCTTTATCTCTCTCATACATTTTTTATCCAGTATAATGTAACAGTGGATTATATTTTTATTCCTGTAAAACATCTAAACTCTCTTTGAATCCTACTAAATTGATGTCTGACTAATCAGGTCCCTCTTGCTGAAGTCAGGCTGCTTGCCTTGGGTGTTACTAGATTAGAACTGGGAAGTGTTTCCATATCACGGAAATAGGAGTTCAAATTATTCATTTTCTAACGATAAAGACCCCAATGAAATGAATATAAATTATAAGTTGACTTGTGTTTTTACTTCAGCCCCTGGGAGTTTCCTGTATGATAACCTCAAAAGGAAGCAGTTGACTTCTCAGCAAATGATACATTAAAATTACTAAAATGCTGAAAAATCATGCTATTGTTTAAGTAGGTAGTGACATGACAAGGGACAGATATACCACAAGGCAAATGCATTTTGATTCCTCCTGTGAGAAACTCATGCACTCGGGACATTTGTTTGATAGGGCATACAGCAATGCTAACAGATCCGTAGCACACAAATTCTGCAGGCAGAGCTTGTAGGGTACTTAAATCATTGTCATTAAGCCAACAAGCTTTTGGCCAGTGGTACCAGTTAAGTGGTACTGACTTGAAGAGACAGAATGTGAAGTTATGACATTAAGAACAAAAAGAACGTACTTTCTGTGGATGCAAACTTCCACACTGCTTTGGCATGAACATCTCCAACAAATACTGTTTTATCTTCTGAAGCAACAATGTCATGTGGCATCTCAAAGCTCTGTGAAGATAAGCAGTCACAGCTTATTCTTTAGTGTCTACATGTTCATGAGGTCTCCTTAATGCCTAGACTTGAGACTGGTCATATTCAGTCCTTAGACTGGAAAAAGCAGTAGCTGATGGTGTGAAGGCCTAACAGGAGTCAGGGGAGAGGAATTAAATTTCTATGGTATGTTTGCCTTCTCCAAGAATAACAACGTGGAGATTATTCAAAGTATTCAACCTAAATATTTTTTATATTTATAGTATTTATAATATCTATGAATTTATAATATTTATAATAATGATATCTATATTTTTGCATTCAATTTCATCCTATGAAATATATATTTAAAAAATCATGAATCTTGGTCTCAAGCCCCCATATTTAGTTTTTGTCAGAGTTTGTATGCAACACAGCTATTTGCTATACTCGGGAATAAAACCCTCTCTGTAATATAATTTAAAACTCAACTGCAAATAACAGAATATATGTGTAACCCAGAAACATGAATCTTCAAATTCATTCTTTAGTCTAAGGCAATCTATGGAATTATTTTTTTTTTAATAACCACAATTTTTAATGTACGATTTTGTATGAATGACATTTAGCCTTAGCTTCCAAACTAACCTTCTGTAAAGAAGGGACGTAACCATACAGTTGAATATTATTTCTGCTTAGGAATACACTCTACTTTTTGTCAATTAGTTATCATCTAAACATATTAATACATCAAGCCATTCATTCTTCTCTTAAATTAGCTTTTAAGAACTGTCCGATGGCAATGAAGTAAACATTCTGAATGAAGGTATTATCTGTAAGAATCACCTTGAGGATAGTATACTTTTCAAGTATGTACCACATGTAGCAATTAAGGCCTGAAATTCTAGTGTCTTACTCAGTTAATATGATAAAGAATTCCCTTTCAATACCCTACTTTATAAAATATCTTATTTCCTATGATGGCTTCTTTCTGAAAGTTGGAGAAGTAGGATGCTACCAACGTTTTCATATATATAATTATAGGCACCAGGCACTTTGTCCAATACTCTACCTTTCTAAGTGGAATAAAAGTATCAGTTATTTCTCCAGTAGAGAAGTTCATCACAAATCCTTGTACTGGTTCTGCCTCTCCAGGGTAAGGCATTCCATTAACTGCAAAGAGGAGACCTGCAACAACACCAGATTTGCTTTAACAACACACATATAACAAACTATAGTCAAGATGAACTGGAATAGTATAGATGAAAAAAAGCATGGCTGAGAGAAAAAGAGAGACAGACTGAAATGTCTGTCAACTCAATAGGAAAATAAATCAGAAGAGGAAAGTTAATCAAGGTATTGCAGGTGAAAGCTTGGCATATAAAAGATGCACATTTTGTTCAAAGGAGAAGAACAAGCCAAGCAATAGATTACAGATAGGTTAAATGTAAAAAAAGAACTTGAAAGCATTAAAAAAAAAAAAAAAGTATCTGAAGAATGCTTTGATAAGGATGCTTGATGGGATAATGGAATGTTCTTTAAATGCATCAAAAGCGGAAAGCCAGCTAGGGAATCAGTGGGACCACAAGAGGAAAAGGTGTGAAAGAGCAACTCAGGTTGATGAGGGGACCGTGGCAGAGAAGCTCAGGTTTTGTTATTTTTTTCTGTTGAGTGTGTTGGGGAGATTCTGAAAATTTTTTTGTAGCTAATAGGTCAGAGGCGCCAGTTCAACTGGAAGCAGATATGCAAAAGATGTTAGACAAGTTGGAGGTTAATAATTCACCAGGTTTGGATAGCATTCACTCAAGTTCAGAAGGAAGTCAAATGAGAAATTACAGACTTCAGGCCAAGCTGGAATAACCTAGCGCGGCAAACAGCCACTCCTCCAGAAGACCAGCAGACTGCCAAAGTAATGCCCTCCTACAAGAAGGGCTCAAAATGGTGCCTGGGGAAGTATACATCAACTATTCTGGCCTCCATCCCTGGTAAGATGGTAGAAACCACAATGAATAATAAGACATTTACTCATGTGGACTGTTGGAAACAAGTTGGTATGTCTTTCTTTAAGGGGAAATTGTGCCTCACCTCTCAATGGGGAGAAAAAGCATACAGTGAAAGGAGATTCTGTAGACATGCTTGGTCTTTCAGAAAACCTTTGACAAGGTTGTGCATCAGAAGCTATTACAGAATTTGAGTTATCACAGGGCTGAATGAAAGACCCATTAATGAACAGGAAGCAAAGAACAGATCTTAAGGGCAGAGCTTATAATTTTTCAGGATGGAGAAGTCTGAGTAGCGCAATCCTGCAGGGATTGCAGACAAACAATTTCAGTCAATAGTCTTCATCAATGACCTGAAAAATGGGGAGAACAGTGACATCTCCCAGTCTGAGGAAGGTACTGAATTCTGCAGAGTAGTCAAAAACTTGAGGATATTGAGAAAGTCTTGATACTGGATTATTCTGCCTCTCAAGAAAGTCCTAATAAAGATGTTAGAAGAGCAAGGCAACTACAATACTCAATGGGCTGCACAATTTAATGTCTTACAGGGAGAGATGAAGGTGGCTGGAGTTCTTTGGTTTGGAGAGGAGAAGCTAAGAGGCAACAGATGTGGCAAGTGTTTTTCACCAACTCCCAAAATGCTGAGACTTAGAATCACTCAGTGAACCTGAATCGCTTTTTTAAATTAAAAAAATAAAGCGGGTAGCGAACTTCTGGAGCCGGTAACTGCAGGATCAAGGGGGCAGACAGTACAAGCCAGTTCATAGTGGTATTAGGAAAACTCATGGGCAATAGGTCTATAGGAAGATATTATGAAGAAAAGATCAGGAGCTACCTCTGAACACCCTTAAATAAAATGTTTGTGGATCCACGAGGAGCAGGAGAGGAATGGATCGCAGAATGCAGCCAGTCTTACACATTCTCCTTAGAATGCCTCTGATGCTGCCACTGTCAGATCTATAGGTAACAAGTATCTCATCCAGTACAGCATTTCTTGGGTTCTTGGCAGATGTAAGAGAGATAACCCTGATACTAAATTTCATACTAACTACACAGTCAGCCTGACATGCCAAAATTGCTTGTCCAGTTCTTTGGATGTTTACATTACTTTCAGTGTCAGTATTAAAAATCTAACTCCAAAACTTATTACAGTAATTGTTAGCCAAATTGTGATATTAAAACCAACAAATTTTTCAAACTGTTAAAGTTGTTTTTATGAAATCCAAAACTTTTCTTGATAATTTGAAACCTTTTTATTTTTCTTTCTTTAATGAAGCTTGAAATGTATATTTTAAAGCATTATTAACAAAGTATGGACTGTGCAGTCACTAAGAAGCAAACAAGATCTTCCAATTGTTGACATAACATTTAGGGAGTCTAATCAATCATTTCTCAAAAGCAGAGATTATATACAAGCTTCCCTCATCTCAGAAACAGGAAAACAGGGCAGCTCTCAAATTTTCCATCACATCAGCTCTACTTTTATGGAGAATAAATATCTGTCCTAAGATAACATGATGCACTCCATATGAAGTAACACTGTACTACAATACACTGGCATAAAGCAACTACTTAAAATATGGAGAACAGGAAAAAAAGATTACCTGGAACATAGGAAACTGCAAACAACTCTCTTCCAAATGATTTGTGCTTGATCTCTCTTATGAACTCCCCAGTCTCTAACCTGAAGCACTGAATTCGACCATTTTCCCTGTCGGCAACGCACAGCTGACTGAAGTCAGGGATCAGGGCTAAGCTGTGAGGGATATGGAACTGTCCAGGTTTGTCTCTGCCTAAAGAAGTCTCTGCAAAATAAAATATCAAGGTTTATGTTAAAGTACACACTGACACTATTTGTTTTGCTTAGAAACAGCAATATGTCACATAATGCAGTATAATATTGGGAAGAGAATAAAACCAGTTTGCTCTCTTCTTCTAGCATTTTTACTCATTTACATAGGTAAATTGTGGTAATCATTGTAAATCCTGCATTTATGAATTCACTATTTCCCTGCAATATCTGGAGTAGTTTAATGCTTGATACATAAATCTGAGCCAGGCAGAAAAGTAATTATTCATAAAAATTAAATTGGATGGGATCATGGCATAAATCTTGCAAAAATCGTAAAGGCTTATATTATTGTTCAAGTGTTTAAAAAAAGAAGTTTTTTTTTGTGAAAGTCAGGCCATTTTCTTGATTAGATAGGACACACCAATACTTGTACTGAAAGCATGCTAACAAATTCCCATTTTTTATCGTTAGTGAATATATAACTACTACAAGTACCTGTATTGAATAGAAGAGAGAAAATTGGAATGCAGTGACTAAGCTGAGGTATTGAAAGGTATTTCATTAACACACACGTATAAATAAAAGTAACAATAACATCAGCAATCTCATGGTTCATGATGAGTTCATGATAACGGCAGTACCAAGAGCTCCGACCTGTACCTTCTCCCCACTGCATCAGGTATAGTCCATTTGGAGAGAACTGAATGATTCGACTGTTACAGTAGCCGTCAGAGACATAAATGCTGCCGGTGTTTGGATCCACGGCCACATCAGTTGGTTGACAGAAATGATTTTTGTCACTGCCCGGTTGCAAAGCGACTCCTAAGGTCAGTAACGGTTCTTTCTCATTTGGTCCCAGTTTGAGAACCTTTTTTTTTTTCAGTCAAGGGAAAAAGAGAAGGGGTTTCTGTTATAGAAGGTAAAATATGAGAGGGATGACTGTTTATGGGAAAATATCTATTACTTTGTATAAAATAAATTTATGTATCAAACATAATCTGCATATATTGACTATGACATCCATTACTAGTTTTTCAACAGCCTCAATTCTAGGGAATTTCTGCCTAAGTACAAATTTCCTGTGTTTACAGTAAATTGAGTTAGTTTCACATTTTGGATTTAAGTATAGAGACTTGATAAGCAAAGATGTAGCAGAAAAATCTGTTATTTCTCAAAAGAATCAATATTTTAAACCAGATACTTTTATTTCCAAATGTCCACTATTTTACTATGTCTATTTAGTAAATATTTCAACACAACTATATTCCACGAAGGCCACACAGGTTGGCATTTTGTAGGCATATTCTTAATGTTTATCTTAACAGGCCTAGATAAATAATTTGTGTCAAGCCTCTAGGAAAACAAAACATTTTCTGGCAAAATATTATGATCCTACTATTAAAGCTAATGTAAACGTACCTGATGGAGAGCTACATCAGTGACCCAGTAGTTACCATTTTTATCTATGCTCAAACCATGTGGTAAATAAAATCTGCAAGCATAAATGTAGAAGAATCAAGTTAAAAACATCTTTCAGGAAGAGTGATGTAGGTGTGAAGATTTCAGTTTTTATTTACAGGTCAACAAATACTGTACATACTAACTATTTGTAGTATTTAATGAAAAAGATAACTTTACAGAATAGAATTTTCTTGACAAGAGAGTCTCAACTATGAAATTCAGTTCATCTCTGGAATTTCACTCAGGCTAGTATTTGGTATCTTAAAGACAACATATAATACTCAGGAGCTCTCTATTTTTGTTTGGCTGGCAGATGAAATTGTATGAATTCCTAGAAAACACAGATGGAAACATGGCAAATTACATTTATTAGTTGTTGATTTTGTAATAATTAATTTAATAAACTCAGAGACTACAGTCACACGATGTAATATAAAACATGAAGATGGCTTTGGGGACATTTATGGAGTAAAATACACAGAAATGTTAGTTTGATTAATAAAAGCAAACGTAACTTACAGGCTTTTGCCCAAGGAATGAAGCAGTTTTGCATTACTTGGATGCAGGACAAGAATTGTGTTCTGTTCAATTGGTCCAAGTCCTCTTTGTTGATAAACAAATGTGTTGTCAAAAGAACTACACAAAAATATTGGAACAGAAAGCTACCATTAGAAGGTTACACTGATAAATAGTTCAGATGCAACTTAAAGCCGAATTCTGTAGTTTAATTCCAGTGTGGGGTTATTGCCTTCTTTTTTTCTTTAAATAAATTATTGCATTACTGTATGATTGTAAGAGTTCATGTTAGGTGTCTGCATTTCCTACTGAGGTTATGATTTCCAAACTAAAGGAGCACCAAAACAACATAACAACAATTAAGATAATCCTAAAGTCAGCAAGCAAAAACTTTTTCTAATCTTCTTCACCATGGCAAATCAGAAATGGCAATTCAAATAATGCAGCCTAAGTAAAAATACATCTATTTACCAGGGCATAATTGACAGTAAAAACAAGTATACTCTGCACTGTCTAAGCCAGTCTGTGCATCTTAGCCTTTCTTTTTTTCTTTTTTCCCCAAACACAATTTAATATTTTGCTAAAGCTTACTAAAGATTCAGGTCTTAAGGTTCTTACTCTTTTCAGAGAGTTCTTGCCAAGAGACTATTGGATATGATGTGTTTCTCTTCTACCCCACAACTCCACACTCAGTTTTAAGGGTATGTGGAATACATTAAAATAAGCAACATTTAAACATTCAGATGTTAAGAACCAAGATTACTTGTCCAGAAGACATTTACTAGGCATAAAATATCATATGCTTAACAAAGAATAAAAATACGGTTGTCTGTACCCCTCTGGGGAAGTTGGCTATTACTCTGACCTGTTGAAATACAGGTTCAGCTTTTAGTGAAGGTAAATAGACTGTAAAATATTTTGAACAAAATGTAAGTCTAAATGTTAGAAAATGGTGTTTCACTGTGGATGAAAAATGTGCAAATGTGAGTAATACCCCCAGCTCCCACCTTGTATTTTTAAATCCATTTGTTAATCCCAAGAGAAATACAGCTATGGTTGATACAACTCAGTAAACAAGAACATACATTATAGTCACAGAGAAGACTATGGATGAAGCTATTAAAACTTTATATTGTACAGTCCCAGCAGACTCTCCTCTGCATAATATTAAATATTTATATGCTTAGAATTTTCAATGTGGAAAAGCAATACTGGCTTCATATATAACCAGAAAAATCGATAATGGGATGTGTTTAAGTTTCTGCATGGGCTATGATTAAAAAATAATATTTGGCTATTGCCATTATGTATGGTAACTATCCATGAGTGTTTATTTAATATGACTGTGAATGATTAAGCACAGGGTGATAGTTACTAAAACTCTCTACTGAGTCCTCCTAAAAACTCTGCCATGATGCTGTAGGGAGACACAGGGAGATGCAGATATACAGGCACAAAATGGCCTACTGATGTGTATCTGCTTTTTGACCATGGTTCAGTAGGTGCTGTTTTATTCTTCATCATTACTGACGGTAACCATTCATGACAATCTCCTTTGGTTTTAAACAGTTTCATTTAAAAAGGAGCCTAATACTCTTAAAGACTTGCTCTAGGTATGGATGACCAGAATGGGATAACCAACACTGGGCAGACTGAACTATGTTATTACTAATACTATTATTAATCAGCACAGCTAATCACAGAAAAGACTCTTAGTATCAGTAGGTAGTGTGCAAAAAAATAACCAACCAACCAACCACAAACCAAGACTGCATCTCTGGAAAACTGACTATCTAGACAACTTAAAAATAAATGGTTGGCTTTCCTTACTGTGATTTTGATTCTCACTACCAGTGCTGTCCAGCCTTCTAAGTATTCCCTGTTAACAACTATACAGCACTTCAGGGAACTGAGTGCTTTCAGTGTAAGTAAGAGATTGTATGGTATTTTATGCCAAGGAAGCACAGTGAACTTTGAAATGTGTCTATGTGAGTTATTTTCCATGCACCTTCTCCCTCTCAAATTTCCTTTTCTAGGAGGAAGACTGGCATGCTACAGAATCACACTCACTCTTTCCTTCCCAGCACTTGAGACCAATTTCCCAAGTAATCAATGTCCCTTTGCTTCAACTGATAAAGGAGGACAAATGAGAACACAAACTATACCGACTACTGTTAGCTTAGAAGAAGAAAGTCCAAAACCCAAAGTAACTGGACACATTACTATAGTATACCACATTGCTCTGCAGCATTGTTTTCTAGTAGGTCCTGCAGTTTAATATCGAAGGACAACTAAAATCGAAGTTTTATATTAGTTTGATATTGAAGGACAAATAAACTGCATACGTCACTACTTCTAATTGCAAACCCCACCGTAATTTCACAGCTATTCTACTTCTCAGATGGCTAATTCACACTAATACAATTTATTGCTCAATCTAATGTCCTTCTGGTGGGCTACATATTAAATTCAGACAGACCACCTGATCGCATAACCCCTGAAGGCACAACCTTGAGCACTATTCTTTATGAATATCCATAACTGTTGTGGTACTGTGCTCAGCCTAAATGAACCTGCCTAGCTTGTTAAGAAGGCATCCACAAGAACATGGTTTATATTCTCTATTTTATCTTCTACAAATTGCATAAATAGTATGCAGTTTTTTCATCACAAAATGCAAAATATCTTCCAACTGACACATTGCTTATATAGCTGAATAGTTGTAGTTTTTTCATTCTGAACAGTACATGCTGCACATAGCAGACTGTTCTGAAATTAAGGAGATAATGTGTTAGAAGAACCTGACTTATTTAAAAGGATTTATTTTCTTTTTGAATCAAGCACAGAAGGAATGCTACAGCCACTGGAAAGCTGCGGCCTGTCACTGCAGAGCTGCTTTTGTGTTCTAAAGCAGACTGAAGTTGCCTTATAAAAGAGCATAGACCATACATCCAGCTGTATTTAGTTGAATGAAGATCCAGCTTTTAAGGCATACATTAATAATGCATTGGAAACATTTGTGCATTGCCTAACAGCAAGATAATTTTTGTTTAATTGTATCTATATGATGCTGGTGAAGCACTGAAACCAGGAAAATAAATTCTGGGCTTTCAGGTGCTTGATTGATTCATCATGTTTATGATATGGGAGAGAATATTATACTCAATTAACTGTGTGTTTGCAGATAATGATAAATGTTAACTTAAAAGTCTGATAACGTATTATATCCCCCCACCACATAACGGTCATAATAACTACCTATCAAGTCTTTATTTTTTTATTCCTTTTTACTGAAAAATCAGCACACATATACTCCTTCCTTTTCAGCACAATCCATGAAAGGGTCCCCAGAGTACTTCATATGCCCATTAGGTACCCAAAGATAAAAAAGGAAAGGCTGATTGTCTGAGCACACCTCTCTGTGTGCCTTCTCTGTGCCAGAAGATACGGAACAACACCTTAACCACAGGCATGTTTTCCAAATACACTGTTTTAAAGTCACATACTGTATACAAACAGGACTAAGAAAGTTTTAGCCTACCTGATATAAAGGGTTCCTGTCAACAGTAGCTTTTCTATGTACTGATTACCATCCTCCATAGGAATTAAAAAAATCCCACAAAACTGGTGTATAAAACCCCTCTAAAATGAATTAATATATCGTGTAGTTATCTTTATGGAAGGCCCATAACCAGCTTCAGTTAACAGCAGCTCATCTTACATCTTGGTTACATATCTGGACCAAAATGCTTCTGATCATATAAACAAGGCCAAGCAGTTTCACCTTGTTCCGACTACGGCAAGTTCCCATACAGGACTGACGCGCATATCAACATTACTAAATAGAAGATAAAGCATTTTTCTGGCAGTCTGATAATCGCATGCTAGAAATACTCAGAGTGCGAACAATGGCTGCTGCTTAGGACAGAGCTAAGTGAACCTGTAGTGTTACCCAGCACAGCTGGTAGGTATGTGGATTTCCAAAGTCCAGACCAGAGCTCTGATGTTCTTCTGCACCTACAGCATAAGAAAGCTGAAGTTCAATCTGCCTATAGATACGGTTGATTCATTATGCTCACATACTATTTACTTTAAGGACTGTTATATTTGTTGTATTTTGTTTAAAATCTATAGACTCTCCAAATACTGCTTGGTCTCAAACTCCAGCTGTTCGTATACCTCCATTGCCAGACACTCAAAAAATGCATTTCAGAAGAAATGAATACGCCTGCCAGCCTATTTTCAAATATTTTTTCTATCTTTCTTTAATGACATGAAGAACAGCAGTTATGTTCATGCATAGGAGGATGAAAAACACCCCAATCAATATCAACATTTACTTGAAGCTTGAGTAATTCAAGTTGCAGCAAGTGTCATCCTTCCCAGTTTTGTACTCTATTTATATACCTGAGCTGGAGAGCTCACTGATGTAATGTTTGAGACATAAATAATTGCCTTATCTGCTGTATTAAGCTGAAAACCCAATGAACTTATTTTGCTTCATAAAACAGTATTCTAAGCATAATTTGTTATCACAAAGTTGAGAAAGCTGCCCTTTCTAATCTTCAGAAACTATGTTATCTTAAAGTCAATTCATCAGAGTTCAAAAAAACCCCTACTCTTTAGCCTTATGGTTATATATATGGAGAACAGACACTTAGAAGATGAAAAAGGCACATTTAAAAAGAGTTGTACATAATATTCTGTTACAGACTTCTGTTACTTTCCTCCCAGCATTCTGTTACAATTTCATGGAATTTTTTCCAAAGTGCCTATCTAAACAGTTGGACTTATTATTACGCTCAAAGACATAAGGACACTGTACAAATAAGGACACTATATTTTATTTGGAATGTTCTCTTAAAATAATATACTTTGAAGTATATTACTTTATAAACACTACAAAAATGTCCATTATAAAATTTGGACTTCTATTTGTTTGAGTGACACTAAATGTAGTAAATTTTATCAGTTGAGTAGAAAAAAGCCTGTTTTGAGAGAGTGCCTTGTAACAATCTAATTTTGTTCAGCGGATGCAAACAGTAAAACAAATGAAAACATAAGTGGAGACAATACATGTTAACAGCTAGCTTTTCATGAACCCTAGTGCTAATAGTATTATATCATACCATCATTCTCCCAGGCTAATTAGTCCTACTAAAACACACAGAGAAGTAGGGATAATGAATCTTTAAGTTTAAGGACCTAATGTTCTATGTTCTTTTTCTTTGGAGACACATTCTTACTGTCTGAAGACCTAGTAACCCCATCATCTTGAACTGTCAGTCCCCACTTCCTTCTGAGTCTGCCAAAGGCACTTTCAGCCAAAGAACAGAATTTTCAATGGGAAAAGAATTTCAATCTGTCTTGTCTTTTCTTAAGAAGATATACAAACATAAATTTGACATTCTAGCATGCCAGTTGGCAGAACATCTACTTACTTTTCATCCCAAACATGGTCGCCTCTGTGGAAGATAACTAGGTTATTTTCAGCATCCAGAGCCAACCCAGAAACTTGGCCAAGTTTGAGGTCTAACCCAGGCCACTCCACAGCTTCTTCTATGTGAAAATCTGACCAAAGAAACAAAAGACAGACATCCACATAGCATATTTATAGATAAAACTGGTTTTAAATGCATAGTTAACTGGCATTTGGCACAGGCTGTTGGGAATGATATGGACATTTTCTTGTACACATTATTTCCATTAATGAATTGCAATTTAATTCCAAGCATAGTTTTATTATAGTAAAGCATGCACAAGCACTGGCATCCTGCTACATACAAGATGACAGAAACCTCAAAACTGCTTTTGACTCCATTCTTTTTTTCATCTTGTAAGGATACAGGCACACACTTACTCTAGAAGTTTTAGATACTGTGAATAATTCCTACATCAAAAGATTACAGAAATATACAACTACTATCCAAAATCAGCAGGCAAATTTAAATACTAAATCATCAGTGTTTTATTAGAAAATGCATAACAAAAACTGAATCACTAAACCACCTACATATCAGAAGTGGTTGATTCATGAACTTTAAAAAAAAAAAAACCAAAAACCAAAAACTTTAAACACTAAAAAAAATACAGGGAAGGAAGGAAAAGAGCAATGAGAAAGAAATATAAAAGTAATTCTGTGAAATTTGCCTATGACATTTCTTATGGCCGATATGTGCACTAGCTCTGGATATTGTTCGTATCCTAATCCAATCATTACAGGCATGAACATGAAACAGATGTCTAAATTTGATGGAAGATGAAGAAAATCAGAATATCTGTCATTGTTTATGCTGTAGCACGCTTTTTAAAAGAATAAATACTGGATAGTTTTTGAATGACACAAATGTAATTTTCACACTAAATTAACAGCATAGGATTTAGCAAGTGAACCACTGCTAAAAAGTCAGTTACTTCTTGTGTTTTTCTTAAATCATAAAAGTCCTGGAGACAAATTTAGTTTCAAGTTAAAGATTAAAATTAAAACCATAAAAAGACCTTTACTTTAACCCATTTTATGTAAAAATAGACTTACACTGATTAAAGGCACAAACAGCCCCACATCTGAAAAGGTTGTGGAGTGTTGGCTACGAACATTAATTTCTCATAAATAGACTGCTAAGATACTATTTGGAAGAGGTTGATCTGGGTTGCTCTGCCAGTATTAAGACACAATGGAACAATATTCCCCAAAATAAAAAAAAGTACTGGCGAGGCAAATGTCACTTATTCTGATGAAAGAAAAAAAACCCAGATCCTAAAATGCCTTCTACATGTTAGGAAATCCATCATTCTTCCTTTTCAGAAATTAATCTGTTCAGCACAAGTCAAGTATTTCTGAAGTGCAGACTTTGTATGAGGGCACACAAAGTCAAACTGAAGGTGACCAAAAAGCAATTTCTTTGCAGTTATGTGAAAATGGAGCTGTTTCACTAGCATTCGCAGTGTTTGGCAGCATCGTGGTGCACTTTGCAGCTTGCAGTTCACCCAAAGTTCGTGTGTTTTGCTGTTATCAATAGGGTACCATCCAGGCAGGTGAAATACATGTCCTCATTCACAAAGAGCCAGGGTATTAGTGCTCAGAAACAAGGCAGATCACAGACCTCAACACACAGCACCCAGGGAGTTTGAGAGAGTTTAGCTGGAGGTGATCATCTAATGAAAGGAAAGATGAAATGGGAAACAATATTGAAAATCTCCAGGTCAACACAGCTGTTCAGATAAGCATCTTCCCTACCACTTCCACTTCACTTGGAAGAGATGTAGTCTGAGGAATAACAGCAAGGATGTGGTCAGGGGGAAACCATTTCTACATTCTACACAGGGAAAAGACAAAACCAGTACTGAAAACCTACCACAGGCCAGGAGATACTTCGCCTTTGTAGTTTTAGATAGCATAGCTACGGTAGGTGACAGAGAAACTGTTTAGGCTAACACAAAACCACAAACCTGACAACTGCAGTGAATCCACTACAGTAATCAGAAACTTCTAAACCAAGGAATCTACCCTGTAGCATTTTTTAAAGTTCCAAGGTAAAGGAAAAGCTGTTAAGAAAAAGACTGTACATGTTAATGCTTCTGTACAGTTCAGCTGGTCACAACAGGTGCAGTACCAGGTATATTCATGGACATTATGGTTCTGAAAGGAATAAAAGGATGGAAATCCAGTGTCTGCTTTCCCACTCTCTCATCTCAATCAGTCTGAGTTAACTTGCAGAAAACTTGTGTAAGTTTAGTCTTACAGTGCCACTTGGCCTGTGAGCTTATTCATAAAAGAGCTAGAAAAATTAAAAGGCTAAACACAGAAAACCTAAATTTTGGCCTCTAACAATTCAGTCTCTAAAAAGGCATGTACTATAGAATACAAAATATATGTATGTCCTGGATTCAACTGTAACAGTTCTTTTTCTCACTCTCAGTAGCTGGTGCAGTGCTATGTTTCAACTTTAGCCTGAGAACAATGCTGATAACACACCCGTGTTTTAGTTGTTGCTCAGTAGCACTTACCCTGATCAAGATCTTTTCAGTCTCTCATGCTCTGCAGTGAGGAGGGGCACAAGAAGCCAGGAGGAAGCAGAGACAGGACACCTGACCTGACCTAGCCAAAGGTGTATTCCATACTACAGCACGTCATAACCAGTATGTAAACTGGGGGAGTTACCCTGAGGGCCCAGATCGCTGCTTATGTCGGGCTGCGTATGGGTAGGCAGATAGTGAGCAATCCTACTGTGCAGAACTTGTGTTTATTGTTGTTTTTCCCTTCCCCTTTTAGTTTCATATTCTCTTCCCTTGTTACTTCCCTTATTGTTATTATTATTGGTGGCAGCAGCAGTGGTTTTGTGTTATACCTTAGTTAACCAACTGTTCTGATCTCAACCTGTGGGGTTTACATTCTTTTGATTCTCCTTCCTAACCTGCCCAAAGGTTAGCAGGGGAGTGAGTGAGAGCTCTGAGCTACTGGCTGGGCTTAAACCACAACAATATACTTAAAGGACTAAAAGATTTCTGCTAGATCAGACCAATACAATGAATGGACAGTGAAATACAGTCTATCACAAGAACTCCAGCCCCTACACAACTGTTAGATTTTCTAACACTTTTCAAAAACTGGTTTATTACTGTTATCTTTTCCCTTTGCAAGTCTCACACTAAAATTACTACAATACAGGTTTACCTCAAGGCAACTAGCTTCATACAAAAATGTACTAAATTTCACTTTATTTATCTAAGAGTGATTATTAATTACGTACAAAACTAAGTGGTCCATGGAACAGCTGTACAAGACACCAAAGAAAATTACTTTTCCCCATTAAAATATCTTAGTTACCTAAAGTATATATAATTCATTTCACTGTAAATGAGATTTCTAAACAAATCTCCTACCTTGTGATTTAGAGTAATTCCTTCATCAGTAAAACTATACAGAATTGCACAGATTTAGAACATGCAAATCAGCCTCTAATCTCTCCACAAGTGAAAGAATAAAGCCTTATTTATTGGCAAAAATAAAATTCACTGTGTAGAAATCCCTCGAAGCTCTTGCTAGCTTTTAGCATTACAAATTTCAGTCATGCTGCGTTTACTCTCTGCCATCAGAGTACTCATTTAAATCTTGATAAAACTCCTGCAGAAAGGAGATTTAAAAACTGAAGAATTGCACTGTATGCCTTAATTAGGAGGTACAATTGTACTGGTTGCAGTGATGTTGAACAACCTGACTGATTAGTGACCAGTCTCATGGTAGCAAAATAACAACAGTGCAGGAAGAGCAGTAGTAAAAGGTTGCAACATTTAGAACAACCTTACTTAACATACTGGTCACTTGCTGTTTCAGGTCTTACATGTTTAAAATTGGAGTATTTGTATGACTAAAAATATTAAGCTATTTGAATTCCAGTAATTTTTAAACAGTTAAATGAAATTAATTTAACAGCAAACCAGAGTGTTGTCCTAAGAAATACTGAATTTTTTTTTAATTCAATACAGTAAAAATTTACATCAAAGGTGCAAGTGTTTTTATTAAATCAAGACATGTTAAAACACTTTATGTTCCACTTCTTCCTCTGAAGAGGAAAATTCCATTTTGGAAGGTTTTGCTCTTCTAATACATAAATACTTCCCCAAACAGAAACTAAATATGCTCTTAAAGATTTTATATAAAAGTTCTTTTGCCAAAAGATGGCGCTGGGGGCTTCAGAACTTCTGCAGTTAGCAGTATTACAAACATTAAAAAAAACCCAATCAAACAATGCTAATTAAGATAATTTCAATTTTCTTTTTTGCTGCAACTCAGAACTGCATCATTTGAAAGTCCATTAATTAATCCTCCACCAACAAATTCCCTCTCCCAAAGAAATATATAGCTACTAAAGTAGCCAAGCAAATGCTTCCTGTAGTTAGAATTCATGCCATACAACGTGACAACTAAGCCCTTTATTCAGTTCACTGAGACTCCTGCCTTTGGACCAGTTAAAACAGAAATGTCTTTTTTCCCCTCTACACACCATGTGCTCTTAGCTTGAACTGTTTTTGCAGATATGTTACACACATTCCTCTTCCAAGCATTTAATTCCAGTGTCACTTATGGAATTATTTATGATTTACAATTATGTCAGCACACAGCAACATCCCACGTTTCTGCACCTTTGCCAGTAACTCGACAGGCTCTCATTTTACTAACTAGCATAACACAACGTTGGGAAGTCCTCACCTTTGGTTTTCTGTTAAATAGAAACACAGATTTTTGCTGAATTTAAATACTATGACAGAATCTCACATAAGTGGAGACAATAAATGTTAACATTTTGAACTGAAATAAAAATCAAATGGATGATATGCATTTGTGTACAACAGTACTTGGATACATCAAGCTGTCTGTCTGCACCATAAAAGCAAGCACGTGCTGCTACAGCTTTTGCATACAAATAACTTTCATGCATATATACCAGCTTCTTTTATGAGATACCCATCACATGCTGCATTATCTTTCTTTCCACATTAGCAGGTAAGACCAAGCACAATCAATATCACAGAGACCAAAATGTAAGTAAAACAAACACAATACATAGCTTCTGCTGTCATAGAAACCTGAAGGGAATGAATTATAATCTTAGTATGATAAAACAGCCTATCCAAGAATATTTGGATAGCCAAGCCCAATTTATTGAAATAAATATGCAGAGAATTTACTTCTCAAGAATTTTTCAGAATTAACTACCACACTTTCTGAATGAGAGGAAAAACACCTGCTAGAACCACATCAATAAGTTTTATTAAATCCTGTATCTGACAAACCAAGGTAATCAGAAAACTCATAAATTGCATTAATTATGCTAGTGTTCATTTCCTAGCAGTTTTTTGTATTAAAAAAAATCATTAATTCATTTCCCATGTCTAATATGTCTCGTGCTTACCTTTTTTAGCACAATTGATACAAAACCATTAATTAAAAGTCCTGGGGAAAAAAAAAATATTCTACAGCCCAAAAAGTACTGGTATTGTGCCACTGGTATACATTTTCTCTTCACACACAGAAGGGAAAGAACCCCACTGAAATATCTCAAAATAGAGCAAGAACATTTCCATAATTAGGAAAACTGTCATGTAAAATATTTCCAAGCATCAATTGATATTCCCTTCAGATTTTGCTAATGCGGATCACAGCTCTTGCATTGCATTTCATTGTATAAAATTAAACCCTAACCCACCTCCTGCATGTTCTTTTTCCCAGTTTTCCTCACCATGTTCAGACTGAATTCTGTCTCTGACAAGATTAGTACTGTCCCTCTCGTCATGATTTGTGATCTCTCTGGCAAGGTCCTTCTTTTGGACTACATTAGCAATCTCAGCTACAAGATCTGATTCTGCCTTTTCTGTAGGGTTATGCTTATACACATGCACAACATCTTCCCTTTCTCCTAGCAGCTTGGAAAGGAGTGAATAGAAATCGCCTGTATAAGAAAGAGAAAAGATAAGAGGAAAGGAGGGAAAAAACAATTATAACAGCGCCATTTTTCACAGCTTCAGCAAAGTATAATGGAACGAAGTTATTCAAACAGTCTTTGTCAAAAGTGGCATAAAAGGGAATTGTTTCAGACTTGGGAATTGAATGAGACAAGTCTCTGGTATGAAAAGATAATGTCAAATCTTTATCAACTTTAATTTCCATAGAAACACCCACTTTTACCTCAAACTCTAGCACGAAAATATCATCACCTCTGCACAGATGTTCTTAGGAACAAGATAAAAAATAGAAGTATGCAAATTTCAGTAAAAGAATATTTGTGATGGAACTATCTGGATTTGCCAGACTACTACAGATTTACTTTATTTTTATAAAACAAAGAGGTAAAAATTCTAGAGTTTTACTAATTTGTTAATTTATAAAGGAAATAATATACAGTCATGATGGATTTCAAAATAGATTTCTTTGCAATCTGTCCTCACATAAGAAGCTTAGGCTGTGAAAAACAAACCTTCACCTTTTCAAACAGATTCTATAGAGCATACTGTAAAAAGAAGACACACTGGTGTAACAGTGATCCATTAACTTTTCATTTATTAATTCGGCCTGTGTCCTGTCCCTCTTCTTTGTCCAAATCGTAAAACTCTTTAGACACAGTATTATCTGGCAATGCAGGGAATAGTATTTTCTCAAGCTACTTGCTAGCAATACAGTTATGACTATAGCTTTCTCAGACACCAACATGCTTTTCAGTAAATTTCAGAACAATAGCTGAAAGCAAACAACCAAACATTAGGTATGCAAATTCCAGAACCACATTTTTCTTCACAAAATATTCAAGCCACCCAAACAGGTTTTAATGAAGTCAAACGTTCAATTCTTTCTGCAGGGTTAAATGAAGTGATGACATGAAGATAAGTATATTCCTCTCCTGGGATTCTCTGCTAACCGGCAGGTACCAAACCTTTTAGAATTTATTAACCAAGTATCTTGGCTGCCTGAAACTATTACCAACTTTTTCAAATACAACTGCATCATTTGAATGGAGACATCCAATGTGCTTTAAGATTTAATGCAGTAGGTGTTATTTTATTTAAGTACAAATCACTCATAATGAAAAGTCTGCATTATTTTACGACAGGCTATATAAAATATTTCTTAGAAAAGCAAAACTGTAACTAGTAATGCTTTCACCAAAGTAATCTAGCCAGAATCAGATCCATCACTTGCAGCCTGGGACAGAGGAAATTAAGTCTTTTTGAAATGACCCTAAGAGGATCTGGCATGTTTATAAACAGCCCTAATTCAATGATTTTGAGTTAGATTCCATTCCTTGCCCTTGAAAATTAAATATCTCAGATGAAATCTTCTGTCAGAAAATAATTACTGAAGTAACAGAGCCAATTTCAATGAAATGAACAAGGCAAATTAGGCAAGAACTACCTGTTCAGAACAAATTCAAGTATCAAAAAAATTTGATAGAAGTTTTGTACAAACCATATTTATTCTGAGAAAGGTTTATAATCAGATTAATCAGGTTCAATAGTCTCTACTTAAAGCATCCAAGAACTGGTGCTGACACAGAAATACAGCTATAATTTCCTCTACTCAGGAAACATTCAGTATTAACATACTCTCCATGGGCCTTAACTATACTTTTGCAGCATCTTAAAAATTCAACAAAGTTTATATATACAGATGTTTTGGTGGTATCCATGGCTGCAGACCTGCAGATGAGCCAAGCCTGCTGACTCCTCTACATGGAACGAGAGAGGCCTGAATGACAAAAGCAGTGCTCTGCCTGATGTAACTGTGAAAAGTCTCCCTAAACCAGCAAGCTTGGTGATATTTTAGACTGCAGACCTTTTTAAAGCAAGTTCAGTGATCTTTGACCAGTTTACTCTTTCCTAAACCTGTACCAACAGCCTGAACAATCTTCTTGTAATTCTTGGTCACAAAAAGAAAAGCTGTAGTGTACAGAAAGGTTTCAGACCCCTAATTCACAACTCATATGTTTGTTTTATTGGAACAACAACAACAATGAATTTCTTCCTCCTTCAGCCAAAACACTGCATACTACTTCTGTTGTGCAATGGTTGCCATGAATAATTAACTCACTCTCCTACAACAGATATCACTCATTGATTAAAAAAAAAAAAAAAGTAGTGGCTCATTTTACCTGTCTGAAAGCAGCCTCTCTTACTATACAAGAAACTGCTATGAGATAGAACTCAGTGGAGGAGAAGAAGAAAAGAGAGCAGGAGTATCCAACTTAAGAATAACGAAAGCCCTGTGAAAAACTTTTAGGACAAAGTGCTTTCATAGAAAATTCCAGTGACTCTTACAGGAGATATAATCAGGTACTCCACGCCAAGGAGGCCGACCAGTTTTGGTTTTGTCCTAGTACTAAGCCTATGATAATAAGATAACTGAGAAACTTTCAAAAAGTGGAGTAAAGTGGTTTGAGTATATCACTGTCAATGGCTATAGATGACACATTTTCCAGGTTCAGCTTGTCCTATTTCTGCTTTTATTAGGCAGGGGTGTTGTAACCACAACAGTTAAGAATATTTAGGAACTGAAAGTATGAAAAGTGGTGTGCCCCAGAAAGTGAAAGTGGTCTAAAGTGTAGCTGCTCTGAAATGGTCATCTTTGTTTTAAGTAAATGTGTTTGTGAAAATGAATGTGATATCTCTACACCTTAAGCTCAAAGACATCCATGAAGACTACATATCTGCCCAGCATCTCCATATGCTTCACACAAACAGTAGGCTGAAGTCTTCTGTCAATTTCTTGGCATCTAGATACAATTCAGTGTATTGAAAAAGCAGAAAAAATGTGTGCAGATGTCAAAGGGAAGAACTGCAGTTTCCTGATTACTCAATGCATGCAACTGTTCCCCAAACTCCACACAGTGAATGGAAGTTTCATATTATCTAGGAACAACATTTTTCAGCTTTGTTTGTGATCCCCAGGCAGATTCCGATAGATTTGTAAGCAGTATATTTTTAAATAGTAGTTCAGAATTCACTACACAGAACTAGCAAAAACCAGACTCCTATTGTTTCTGATTAACAATTGCTCTCTACAAACCAATATCCAGCAAAGATTATAGAATGATCTCATGTTGCCCTTTTACAGCTGTCTCATACTAGATGGAACAGTTGAAGGATGATGCTTGTCTCAAGATACTCAGTGGGAAAGGAATACCGGCAAGACGCACCATGTTTGGTACTGTTCGAGATGAGACAGCCTGGGCTTTAGAATGCCTAGGTATGATTAAAAGAAGACATGGGTGAATGAACAACTTGCTCTTATTGAAACAAGTGAAGTCTAGCAGTGCAGTCTTAAGGAAGCTGACTGATTAGGTTAGTTTCAGAGAAGATACTTACATGCACTTCTTATTTGTAAGCCATCAGGGCACTTCCCTCTATGTAATACGGTAAAAGATGACTGGCTACAAATATCTATAGTTTCTGCTATTTTGGAGGAAGTGACAGCTGTCAAGACCAACACCTCCAGACTGAAACAATGCACAAGCATATTCCAGTAAGTTTAAACATGATTACTTATGGTGGTTCTACACTAGGAAAATTCTTTTACAGAACAGTGTTTTGGAAAATAGTCATACAAACGAATAAAAACATTGGCAACTTTCACTGCAACCCATGAGCTGAATCTCACCTGATCTCAATAAAATATCAGATTAATTTAAGGTTAATAAAACAGTGTAGTATTTTGACCGCCAGGTTCTGGGTTGAATCCCTGTGGTGTTGAACTATCCATGTCTAAAAACAACCCTTTTTTTCCCAGCATCAAACACCATTTCCCCCACCTGCAGCGAGCAGTCGCTGTCCGTGCTCCTTACGGAGCACTCCACCATGTTGATGGAAGTACCAACTTCCAGCCTGGATGAAGTATCTAGCCATGGTGCTGCAGGATCAAAGTATCAGACAGATGAGAAGCTCAGCCATAAGTGAGCCTGTGCAAAGAGCTTGAATGCGTAGCTGTTATGATACATACATGAAAACTCATTTTATGCATTTTAGAAAAAGAAGCAAGAACACTGGTGTGGTGTCTGGGAATTGTCATCTCCCGAAGATGTAGTTGTGTCATAATGACTGCACAATTTCATTGCAACAGTTCAGACATGCTCCCCAGTCTGGTATTTCAGACTTTTGTTAGGAATCAGACTGAACAGGATTTGAAGCATGAAGCTGCTGCTGCAGCCTACTTACAAAAAGATGTCTTACCAGGAAATAACCAAAACTGATGGGTTAAGAGCAGAACTCTAGCAAGCAGTCCTCTGTGTTGACAGGGGACTGGTACAGCAAAGTTTATCTGCATGTTTCACAGGTGTGAATGCTTGTATTGAAAGTCTCTTTTTGAGCATGTTTGATCTGACATGGGGCCAGTATGCAGGTCATTTTAAATCTGTGCCTCAGTCCTGCTGAGATTGTAGCAGGAGACAAGTTTTCATATTTGACTTTTGGTTATCTAATTATCTCTGAATTAAGTGTACTCTGAGACTGCATGTTTCTGCCTTACCAGGATGTGCTTCTGGCCTACTCCTGTGTTCATGTGGCAAAATTAGTCAGTGCTTTGACTTTTCATAAGTTCCAGAATCAGGGTCCAAATAATGTAGGCTCCAACTATGATTTCACCTCATCTTAACTCTAAGGTGAGGCTGTGTAATATGTTAAGAGTCGTATCACCGAACTGTATTTTAGCTGAAGAACTATCTTCCTGATGAAAATAAGTAAATTTGGCTGCTAATATTACCTCCTGTGCCATCAGGAACAAATGCCTTCAAAGTAAACATTTATCAAAATCAATAGTTTCATTTTCTTTGTCTTCTTTGGCTCCTACATGAAGCTACTAAGCTCATTCTACCAGGCATACATAAGGTAACATTGCTGGTAGAAAAGTATGGGAGAAAGGCATGGAAAGAAAGTGAACAAAATCTATTGTCTATTTATTTGAAAT